TAGTGTAAAGAGCGACAAAGTCCATGTAGAAAAAGGAATGCAGTGGACAAATGGGTCAAACACAGGATTTTCAGGCCTGTGTGAAACTAAAACTAACTCTGATTTTAAGTTACTTAACTTCTGTCAGGTATGTAACTTAACTGATGATCTTTTCCTAAACCTAACCAAGTAGTTTTGATGCCTAAACCTAACCAAACTGCGATCTCAGCAAGCTTTATTTTGAAAGTGTAAATGGATTGCATTGAATTTTATTGTAAAATGAGTCAGCTGGAGACAATGTTTGTGCCAACTTTTTAATAAATCATTTTCCAGGACCTTTCCATGACATTTTCCAGGTTTCCAGTCATATAATTTAGCAGTGTTTACTGGCCTAGTTACACGTTTAACTCTATTTTTATTCCTCCTTCTTTAATGATTAAGGGTGTCAATGACAGGTAGGTGGGGAGCACTTGAGACACTGTGTACTCTCTAATGAATTCACTAGTTTACTACAGTTTCCTCTAATTTGGCCACAGGCAATAAGTAACAGTTCAAAGTAAGTAGAATTTATTATATTTTACATAAAATTCATCTTCTGACCTAGTAGCCACTTAAAAGAAGAAGAATGTTTGTTGCATGTACAATTAACATTGCTGTGCATGTAGTTATTAACCACAACAATAAAAGATTTTTACACTGGACTTTAATAGGAATTCTGCTCGCGGCTGCAGAAAAAATAAACTTGACGCCAAAAATATTGTTCCACGTCTGGTAAACCCGCTTTAAAGTGTAACGTGCAGAAATCCAACAGTGAACTTTGAAACAAAATATGTAGGCAATCTTAGGCGTCAGTCTGAGTGAAGGTCTAAAATACAATAAAATTTAAAAAAAAAAAACTAGATTATTTCCAGGATATGTCATTTTGATCAATTTCCAGGTGTTTCCAAGACCGGAAAACTAGTCTCTACAATTTCCAGGATGCGTGGGAATGTGGGGAGGTTGATTAACAGGTGAAGTAGGAGCACATCTACTGTTGAAATTCACAAATATTGATTCCAGTAGTGAGACTGGGGGAGTTTATGACCGAATAAAGCCTAGAAATGGTACACATACCAAAAAAACCATCACATATCTCATAACTCTAATTGATTTAATGCGGGGGGAGGGGGGTAGTGTTTATGACTGTCTAAACCAAAGAGACTTCAAAGTGAAAACAGATGTTTTCACTTGGTGTCCCTTATTGCCTTGCCAACATGAAAAAAGTATGTGGTGAACCAAACCTTTTCTGTGTGAACTTTGTATGTTCTCCCACATGCTTGTCTCTAACTGCGTACTGGGATAGGCAGTTTGACCATGAAAGGAGTACAGTCAAATGAAGGATGGAGGGGTGAAGGGATGGCTTACTTATACAAGTAAAACAAGCTGTGAAAATAAAAACACTTCTCTTCTTGAGAAGACATAAAAATGTGTGCCAGGGAATCTCACTCGTTCTCATAGTTCCTTGGTACTCTTGTGCAAGTACGTTACTTTCAAGTAGGATCAAGGACATGGTTAGAACATGGCACAGGTACCACAAGTAACAAAATATGACGTAGACACAGATAATTACAGTAATATATGTATTCATAACTTATTATTTATGCTCTCTTATATGGTGAACACTTCTCTGCCCTACCGTGTGTTGTTGTTGTGGTGACTGAGGAGATGTTTCTAACACTGATTGTATTCTCATTGCAGCATGCAGCTTTAACTAAACTAGATAAGTAACTGAAATCTTAGAAAAATAAATGAAAACTTAAATGTAAGCAGAGGGTACATCCATAAGACACCAACAAGCCATGAATTTTGCTGAATGCAGTAAAAATTGTTTAGTAAATTGTGCCCTCTGGTGGGTATTGAGGAGAATGAGCACACTGGTCAGAAGTTCATAAATATTATTAGCAAAATGTACCAAGGCATCAAAAGTAAAGGTACATACTTTAAAATAATGATCAATTTCATACTGTTTTATCATAATATATGTCATATTATTACACAATTAGGGTTTAAGTGAGATTTAATACTGTAGTCAGTAAAGGTGGGGCAACTATAACTATCTATAATTGTGATTAATACAATCTATGCATCACATTTTAAAAGCAGATCATGTGTTTTTATTAAAAAAACACTATATACTATAGTAACTGTCAAATAAAGTACATTATTTCTCTCTGAAATTAAGGTATTATTTGATTTAATGCATAAACATCTAAATCTATAACATGTCATAAAAAAGTGAAAATCACATTTGAGAAGCTGGAAAGCAAATGTTTGGCATTTTTACTTTGTTAACGACTTAATTTATTATCAGAATTGTTGTTTTACTGAATAATCCATTAATAGACTCATCATTTCAGAACCAGTCTCATTTGTTTATTGTTTTATGGTATTTATGTAGCTAGTTGCCTGTATCTTTTTGGATGTATTTTAAAGTAGTAACTCGTTTCAATAGCCTTTTATTTCATTTACACTAATTTCTCTTAATATAAATTACTATAAGATTTTGTGAATGAAAAGTGCTATATATTAAGTTTGTTATAAGTATTATTTATATTATTATTATCATTTTACATGTGTACTTAATAAATACCCATTAACAGGCAGTGTCAAAGAATAAATTGGTGTCAGTCAGCACAAGCCTTGCTTGGTTTGCAGTCAAACATTGATAAAAACAAATCACAGATTTTCGAGTAGACGTAAGAGACAAAAGTTTTAACAAACTTAAAGTTACTTAATGGAAAATATAAGGGGAAACTATGTATGTAAGTTATGGGGTTAATTATTATTTTATCTGAACACATAACTACTTATTTGTCTACTGTTGATTCCACATTCATGTACAGTGAGGGTTACTTCCGACCTGTACCAATCCCACGAATGATACTTGAAAAGAAAGTGTATTCTGAAAATTAGAAAAGGAGGGCTCGTCCGGGATTTGAACCCGGGACCTCTCG